TATAATCCGATAATTACATATGCAACCACGAGAAATCATTGTATAATATTAAATAAAATCGTATATTTTACCAAATTGCTTCATGGTAGTGAAAAAAATTATTTGTAATCAAATGAAATCATGTAATCTGTGGGACAATATTTCAGCTAGTAATTACCCCCTCGCGAATAAGCATCAAAAATTTGTTAAATTGCCAGTCAATTTAATTCGTGATATATTACACTGTTAGAAATGTTTGTGATTTACAATATTCTTACGATAAAAATGTGCAGTAAATTTACAAACCATATAACGTTTTGCTGTGATTTCATAATATTTGTAAATTTACGATAGAAATTTGTTGTGAATTTACAAAACTGGCGTGCCGCGCATGAGTATTAGAGATCTGCATATACTTTATCACAAATTGTTATTGTAATTTCACAATATAATACTGTTTAAATTTACAACACATTTTTGTTGGATAAAAACTTCCAACACTTTTGGAAGTTTACAACAGAAATTTCTTACAGTGTAGGCCTGCACGCCGAGCAATTAAACATACTGCGGTAGTTTAATAGAGTTAGCGTTTCAAGGCCAAAAAATCATTTCGGCGCGCGTTTCTGGGGACTACATACGTAGTATATAAATTCACATAAGAATCATACAAGCATTGAGATCCAGCTAGACTAGTTCCCCCAGAATAGCTTTGTTTACGATACCAATCATTGTAAAGAATCGTCAACTTTTTCAATGGTGACATCTAAAAAACTCAAACTATTATCTCCAATTTCTATCGTATGTTGTATTCTTGGATGGAAGGAATTAAAACACCCTAAAATATGTTCTATCTCAGTAGTAAGAACCGCAGTGCACATGTAATCAACATAGCGATAGTAAAATGGAAGAGGATTGTTATAAAGTGACAATGCGCTTCGCTCTAGTCTTTGCGTCATCAAATCAGCAATAATGGGCGACAACGGAGACCCCATGGGCACACCAAAGTTCTGTTTGTAAAAGCTATTGTCAAACATGAAATAAGTCGAATCTAAAATAAACTGTACCACTAATATGAATTCAGTTTTCGGTAACCCACATTTCTTTGCAATATGTATCCAATTATCATTAATATAATCTATTGCTGTATCTGTGGGTACTTTAGGTAGGAAACAAATAAATTTTGATATTTTTTAATACTTTACATATACTTTACGGTGCATCTCCCTCGTAACAGCTCGCGGCGTCGCGGCAGGATGATGCGATGGTCGAGCGTTTCCATGTTCAATGCCGATGAACGACTTCTTACTATTGCACTTTACACTATTAGTAACAGTATTGGCGTAGCGAGAAAAATGTTTTGGGAGGGGCTGTAGAAATTAGTTTTTTAAATGTTCTTTTTTATATTAGTAACACATTTGGTAAGGATAAACAAAAAAAGTTTTGTTTAAAACACAATTAATTCAATAGCAAAAAAATTATGATAATTTATATATATGTCGTTGTAACGTCGCGTCAGACGTTTCGCTGACGCTGCATATAAATTGTCATAATTATATTACTATTACATTTAAAGATCTAAA